TGCGCATGCTCTGTACTGCTTGGTTCTCGTATTGAAGCGAAGAAGTTACAAGACACCAGGGGAGAGGAGACCTGTAACTTTGTTCCCAGAACCGTTTCGCAGATTTGGAATTCAGATTTGAGATCAGCATTCAAAACTACCTACGTCGGTATTTATCTTATCTTAAATGGCCACTGCGACTTGGTATCCTTTCCTGGTAAGTGACCTACAGGCGGCCAGGTCACCTCGACGAAACCAGCTTACGGTATATGCACATCTGGTCGACGCCTTAGTAGCCGTGCTATTTTTTCGCCGTGTAAGCCAGTAAGGACAGCAGCACAGACACTCTTCAAGCATTCGCATGGCGTGACAACCGAGTGAAGAAAGCTAAATGCATCAAATCTGACCTGTTGGACTTTCATCGGGCCCTTCCAGAATATTGCTAATAGTGCAACTGCAACAAAATTGCCAATGATAAACACAACCAACACCACCGATACCGGCTCTCCTATTGCCGAGAGAACGTCACTTAACGAGGGGCACTTGATAATAGTTTGTTCTTCCTACTTTTTATGTTGATATCAGAGAAGAATTCAATTTTCCCCCTTAATTTGTGTCTTTATGTGAAGTAGGAAGACCAATCGCTCCTGCGAAGTTTGATTTTTTCGGAAATACGTGGGGACAAATGAGCGGACTAGATGGGAGGATCAAATGGAACTGAGTCATTCTCTTCATTTTTCATTTTCAACTTACAAGCACTGGATGAATGACAATACGGCCAGAAGCGTAAAAGTTGCAAACAAAACATATCCATATAGAAACTGAAATTTAGAAGAAATGTGGCTGGTACAAAAGCAAGCTGTAGGATTTTCAGTAAAAGAAGTTAATACAATACTAAACATATATAGCGTGCTTAGTGTGTCTGTTGGTTTGTCGGTGTGTGTATGTGAGTGCGTCCGCCGGCGTATGTGTGTATGATCGTAAATTCATAGCTCTTGTTCTTGTGAACCTAGAGCGTTCAAACTTGATAGGAGTACGCAGCAGGATGGGAACTCTGATGGCAAGAAGATTCTGGTAGGAGTACAGGCGGCAGGATGAAAACACCGATTGTAGGGCGATAGGCGGTTGTAACAGTTGGCAGGCCGGACTGGCAGATCCTATGTATTCATAGGATCTACCAGTCCGGTCTGCCAATAGAGGTCTTCAGTGCAGAGAAGGGGTGGCTGACCACAAATGTGTTTAGAGGCGGTTTAGGTGGAAGAATATACTTTTTCACTTCAGCCTTTTGGATGAGCACCGGAGTACGTGTGATAATTACCTCATGCAGAAAGGTGGAATAGGGCACAAACTACACCCTGGTGCACACTCCCTCCTAAAGCTTGAGTGGAAAAATTACATATACTTGAAAACCCTTTCTGAGCACTGTTCTTGCCTTCTACTCTGCGCTCTAAATTGGAGGTGACAATGCACTTGAGGGGGAGGCCCTCAACTGCATTATCACCTCCATTTTTCTTTATAGCCACACATAGCATGATGCCAGTAGAGATCGTGATGAAGTATCCACTTCACATTACTCACTCTACTCCATTAAAAGATTCACCAAAACTTGCTCCATTGATAAAAGGATGCTGAGTATAGCTTGATTTTCCATATCACCTCTTTTATCGTATTCATAGAGGGGCGGAATGACAAACCGACTCACCAAGTTACTGCTTTATTAGTAAGTTAGTAATTGGTAACAGTTAATAATGAATACGATCTATGATGTTGTGTGGCTGCTACTACTCATTTTTTGAGAAAGGCGAGGTATCTATGATAGGCCTTGGTGAGGCATTTCAAACCTAACATAAGAAGGAGGAGGTCCACTTGCCTTATTAGTGGAGACGCTTATGTCTTTGAAATTGAAGAGTTGTTTAGATTCTCTGCACTTACTTGCTTAGCAGGAAATTCGCGTGAAATTTTATTAAACAGCATAATGGCCACCGAGATCGTCGATCGGTATGTTATCAGATACCGGCTTTGATAGAATGGGCGGATAAATGACCGAAGTGTAACAAAATTCCCATTTTATCTTCGGTGAAGTACACGTATTCCACTACGGTTAATCAGTAAACAAGAAAGTGACTGATTTCTAGACCCTTTCTTGGTTTTAAGATTTATCTCGTTAATATAAGGAGGCATAAACAAATGTAAATGGTCGTCGAGTGCAGTTTGCTAGAAATGTTCTCTTGAAAGCACTTCAGAGTTTGCTAGTTGAGGTATGTAACGTTCCCTTCCATTTTTTGGGGAGGGAGTGGTTACTGCCTTGCCAAAACGATTACGCTTCAGTATATCTTTGAAAAAACTAATCAATTAGAAGCCATGAGACGGGCCCGATATCGTGCACAGGCCAACTGGTACTATTTATGAAACATTCGCTTCTGTTTGTCTATCCGTCTGCTTCTCATGACTTTCGGTGTCAATCGAGCGGGATATGTAAAACCGTGGCGGTATCATAAGCAGAACTTCCTCATTAAGTTTAAGTGGGTTTTCTGACCAAAGATGAGGGATTGGTTGATGAATTTTCATTGAATCTTTCCGGCGTTGGACGGAGAGTCCCTGCATGGGCGATAACTCTCATACTCGTTCTTCTCGACTCAACGAAAACGTAGAAGTCAGAAAAAATAAAAGATGTGAGCCTTGTGGCTCGATTCAACGAAATCGTGAAAGCTAGAAAAAAATAAAAGTTATGAGCGAGGCCTCACGCGTGCTTGGCGTGCAAAAATCTAGCGCAGCTGCGATGGGCGAGGCGTACGTTCAAACAAAAGCTATTTTGAAAAATACATATAACACTGATCCAAAACGATCTAGATTGGGAAAAAGGTTAGAGTTGATAGAAGGAATGTCGTCAAATCCACGATATGGGCGGGGTTCACTAAAAGGTGGGTCGGGCTAGAATCAAAAATCCATAACTCTCTTCAATAATATTCTAGATTGTGGGGAAAAGCGATATTCGGAGATATAGAGGGTATACTCACAAACCCTCAAAGTGGGTTCGGTTTTTACTAACAGTAAGATGGGGGGGGGGGACTTAAATCAAAAATTCATAACGTTGAGAACGTTTTAGGAAAAAATTGTTCGGGATCACAAAGGAAGTTTGAAGAAGTTTGATTGGGTTCTTGAGCAGTGGATGGTGATAGTGCATACGTTTAGTCTTCAGGCTGGTTCGCTATTGAGATACTTACAAAAAAGTCGGGGAAAAGAATAAATGCATCAACCCATCGTTATGATGAAATCTCCCACCAGCGCCTGCATTACGCGTCACACAGAGACGAGTTTTCTGATCTGAGCTTCACTTCTCCAACATTATATTGTTTTTTTTCTCAATTCCACGCTTACATGCTTATCATGAGTTTGAAAAATCATGATAAGCAGGTATGCGCAAAGGTTCCAAGCGGACCTTTATTTTGGAAGACACAAGTGCACAAGAGTCTCCGCTGATGAGGGCAAGTGGATAAAAACCATCAGATCTACCTTAAAAATCAAACTCTCTACGGATAGGTTTGAGGGATATGTAAAAGATAGTCAGATCGCTCAAACAACGCCAGGCTCTTTCCCTTCTTATGTTAAGTTTGGGATGCCTCACTGAGGCCTATAATAAGCACCTCCCATTTTCTCGAGAAAATGAGCAGTCACCAGCAGCCCTACAAAACTGCGATGGACCGGTCAATTACACAGTAGTTTAATATAGCATGTCAGTGTATCGGCCAAAATCCTCACCGCGAGATACCCTACTGGGACAATGTATTCCTACCCCACATGAAGGCTACATGTGTGAAGGAAGCCAAGTTGTGAATTGACGCTACACAATCTAGAAGACCTTTGTATAGGATTGTCAATTTCGGATTCCCTACTTTCCCTCTTCGGTTTCCACTATGTACTGCCACCCATCATGAGTCTCCAATCCAACAGCCTGCAACTTTACTTTATTCGAAAAGGTCTCAGATACCCAGGTGCGAATAAATTATTCTGCGCAACCTCGCCCTCTGGAGAAGGAGTCCACACCTGCTACCTACTTTAATTATCCTATCTTACCTCCTGCATCGCTGCCAAATTTAGTCCTTCTAGGTCTAAACTGAAGGTCCCTTCCCCACTCGTTCCAACCCGGCTGAACTGTTCCAGGCCGATTTCCAGAAGCCACCATTTGAGATGGTTACAGGGGAACAGACAAGCAGACAAATCGACAAACCAAAAACAGACGGACATCTGTGGTTTATATGAGAAAAAGATATTACATTATATTACACTACATACACTACATTATACTACAATATACCATACTATATAATGTAATATTATATTATATATATTATGCTATAATACTATGCTATATTATATTATATATTATACAAAAATTCCTATAGGCAAGTGAGCTATAAAATTCTTATCAGTTGAAGAACTCACCACGTAGCACTCGAAATAGAAAAGAGCCAGCACCGCAAATGTGGCGCAGATTACGAAAATGACAAACCCTGCCACGATCTTGAGGGAATGCCAAAGCTTTGTAGATGTGTCAGCTGTTGGTTCACCGTACAGCGATTGTTCCAGTTCAGGTCTGCAAATTTATTGTGCTTTAGACCAGCTTCCAGCTTGTCTTTGCAAATGAGGCCCAGTACTAATTTGACTCGACAAGCTTACGAACAAAATCGTGTAGTCTATCACAAAATTTATGCTCTTTTGTCTTTTTAAGTTTAGGTCAGCTTAGCTTTATAAGGTGTGCAAGAGGTTTATTTGGGAAGAAAAATATCGACGAAACACCGAAAAACTAAACATACTCTCCGTACCAACAAAGAACCAGTTAAGTTATCGCAAAATATGCCAGATATGATGTGCTCTATTTCAGCACATAGTCTTGGAAAACTCTATTACAGTGCTCTGCGTCGTATCCTAGCAGCACATCAGCTATCCGATTTGTTCTGAGTTGTGCCGATAATAGGCTGGTTCATTTTTTGAAAGCATAAACAAGTGACATCAAGAACGATCGCTTATTAAAGTAGTCTTGGGTTGACTGAGCTGATTTAGATTGAATCTCCCTATTGTTCCCGTGTACATTGTTTTGCAAACATTGCAGAAACCAGAACCAGATGCACCCTCTGCCATTGAACTGAACAAATATGAAATTTTAGCCTGAGTTGAAGAGTTGATAGTAGTAGATACTATTCCTAATGCTTACGAGTGAAATCAATCTGGCACGTATGATTTGCAAGCACGAAGTAAAGCTTCTTCATTTACGGTAGATTGTAGATTTGAAGTGAGCGAGAATGATCCATTTCCGCCCTTTCGACTATTTGTCCCAGAATCCATTTTGTATTACAGGGTGCCCCACATGAAGTGTGACGCAGAAAACTAGCATCAAATTTATAAAAGTTAAAAAATTTATAAATCAAGTAGGTCAACCTCAACATTTACTTCTATACAATCATCACAAAACTGTAAACAGTATACCACATCTCACGTTTAGAATGACCATCTTTCGCTTTAAGCATCCAACCTCTCTCGGAAGTTCTCAAGAATGTGCGCAGTACTTTCACCACACGCTTCTACTAGAGAGCTTTTTTTCAGAGAGTCCAAAGACCTGTGTTAGAAAGAGCAGGCTTCTTGCTTCAGAATCGTCCTTACAGCAAAATTCAAAGGAGGAGATCGGTGAATTCGAAGGTCAAACCTGCTTCTGCGAAAAATCCGGAAGTGTAGTTTCACAATATTGCAGCGTCTTCTTGGCGCTGGGGCTGGTGCCCCATCCTTCTCAAAGGTTCAGCTGACGTTCATCGCTTTTTTTTCGCTCAACGCATCCTCCAACCCAAAAGTCCATAAGCCGATCTTTTATTGCCTGTCACACTTCATGTGGGTCACCTTGTATAACTGAAAACCAGGTCTCTAATCGATTCAGCATCACCAAGAAGGATCCCAACCACATTATACAAGTGTCAAGTGTCCTCTGTTCTTTTGGAGACCTTCCAGATGCTAGTTGCATGTGAACCGCTTCTTGCTGAGCTAAGAGAGATTGCCACTGTGTTGACCGATTCACTGCCAAGTCGTCCGCTTCTTGTAAGGCTTGAAGGCCATCCAGGTACAAAAATGGTTTGTGGATCGTCTGCGAACCCCTTTGTGCTAACTCCTACCTCACGCAGCATGCTCTGGTTTTCGGCCGTCAAATGTGGAAGAGGACAGGTGATAATATGGTTTATTGCGGAGCACCACTTGTCACGTATGTCGAGATCGAAAATGACTATCAGCATCCACCTGGAACTTTTTGCTTACCAGATGAATCCTGTAACATTCAATAACGGCAAGGTGAGGCTTAAAACACTTCAGTTAGTGAATCGATTTTTTATGAGAAACTTTCTAACACTATATCGAATGCTCCTGCGAAATCAATATCACGTCACAGCAGCCTTTTTGTCTAATACCCAATCATTTGGGCATTCAACTAGATTAGTCTCAACACAGATTGACCCGGAATAATGCCATACGGCACACTGAAATTATCTTATACTAACAAGTGATTGATGATATGGTTCTTGAAGCGGAGAGCTTTCAAAACTGTGAAGGCAGCGCCGTCATGTTAGGATCGGTTGTGGTGGCTCAATCGAATTGGAGTTTCATGAATCAGCAATCAGAAAGCTTACAAGGTGCAAGCGGACGCAACCAAGCAATGACCTGCCGGACGGGGCCATCCTTGAGTCGCGTCCTCGACCATGTGCAATGAAACACATGGGCGACACTGCGCTGGCGCGCAGAGCGACCCGATGACAAATGCTATGCAGTGACAAAAAGCAGAGAATTAGGTGTCACTTCTTCGACGGATGTATCTAATGCCTTGAGCTCTGCGGCTTGACGTCGGCTGGGCTACCTGCATTTTCGCACACTTGCTCCGGACCATGTAATGTTAGGTTGACAAACGACCACGCAAACAGCGTGGCAGTGGTTGGCAGAATAATAGTGCGCGAAAAGGGGTTGAAAATGATTAGCGATTGAGGAGGGAGTATACGAGGGTCGACGTAGCGATGCAGTACGTAGAGAAGCGATGAAAGCAGAGTGCTTCGGCGTGCGGGATCGCAGCGCTATTGAATCAGATCCTGCGCTCCTTAAGGGGGTACCAGAGCAAAGAACAGTGATATAACTCCCACGCCAGATGCTGCAAGCAACTGTGCACAGTGTGACACCGTGATCGGCACTAAGACACCAGCTACAAAGATCGCGTGTCGATCGGCACTGCCACTCCCATCGCGCTGCCTATCAATAACGATAGCATCATTATCTGAACAACGATGGCATCATCCCGTGTGGTAACCGTCGACATTGTCGGTTATGGTGCGCTAGATGAATAGGGAGCGGCACGCTCCATCAAAGTATCGAGATCAATCCTCATTTGCGCAGTCAGCGAATACAGTGAATCGAGGCGATTGGTTGTAGTTTAAAGGGTTATATCGATTTTTTCCGGCTTGGCAGTCTGCGCGAATCCCACGAAGCGTGTTTTCTCGTCGACTTTGTCGGTCATGGATGTTCGGTTGGGCAAGAAAGACGGATGTCCACAGCTGTGGCTTCATGATTTGTCAGCACGCATTTTTTATTGCTGCCGATTTTGTGCAAACCAGTGGACGATGCTCCAGAATGATAACAGGATCGTACCTGTAACTTGCGCAATCGATTTCACCATCTGAGTAAGGATGGCTTACACTAGTTTTATGAGATCTAACAATATAGGTGGTGGACCAAAGAGATATGTGAGTAATGTCATTAGAACCAAAGCGTCAACAACTGTAAGCATTGTTTTCCAATGGGTGAGGAAAACCGTCCACAAAGGGGATAGGTCTGACGGATGTGTGCCAACCAGCCAGTCAATTTAAGGTATGCTGCGCAGTCGTGATGAACATGTCCCTTTTTCATTGTGTGAGAAGTATTGAAGTACCCCATTGAGCTATGTTGTGACGTCCTTGCCGTCACTAGTAGTGTAGCAACAGCCACTTCTATCAACGCGTTTCCGATTGCTAACTTTATCTTTGTCGTTGTTTGTTCCGGAATACACTTGATAGCGAAAATGTTGTGCGCACACTCCATAGTTGACAGGAACTTGGCTTCGACTGACACAGAATTTTCACTGAGCGTCGATGTATGACGTCGATAGAGGAAACACATATCCGCTGTTGCGGCGAACCTGTGCGAAAGTGTTGTACGGGCAGTGACAACTGAGTGAAGTACCTGTGTCGTTGCGGTCGCAGTAACGTGCATTGGTGCACGAGGGATGTTGAGACCGCTTGCTCATACGTCTCCCACATCACGGCAAAGACGCGGTATGAAGGAAAGATTAGAGTTTCGTTTTTTGTCTATGCATACCTTTGATGAAAATCTAATCCGGGTACCTGCGTGGATACCACCGTCGAATGGGAATGCACGAATTCTTTTCGTAATACGGTATGAATGAAATGGAAATGAAATGATTTCCATGCAGCGCATCCAAATATTTCGCACACCTTTGGTGATGCTGGTACATGGGAATGCGGAAAAAAGTGCACACCCTACGAGGAATGTGCCGGGGAAGTAAGCATATGCAATCAACTCCACTGCAATGCTTGTTACAGGATTATACCCTGGGTGATGCGTAGTGCCGTTGAGGTCAGGAATCACTTTCGTAGCATCCAAGGACTCACAGGTATCCTGCACACATGATCCTAATACATGACATCGTGTGGCGCGATCCACACGATGAAATGTCTCTCTAGTACAAAATGAAGACACTTTTGATTTTGTTAGCATTCAAATAGTGCTCAATTTTCAAGTTGCCGACAGTGGTACCTTGGTGGAGAAAACTGCACACGGAGGCTTGTCTGAATGCTCCTGAAAAGGAGCTCTCGTCGATTCTCGTAGCGACATAGATTACGCTTGGCACGAATGAGATCATCGAAAGGCCTCACATACGAATCTTGTCACGCTACGAGATGATGTAATAAGCATTTTTCCCATCAGTATAGGTGCAGGCGTAAAATTCGCTAAGAAATTTTTCTGTTCTCCCGTGTCATTGCCGCAGTTGAAAGCATTACGTTGGTGATGTTAGACACTACGGTAATGGGTGAATCTTTCTAGTGTAGGATCAGCCAGGCTTGGAGCAAAGCACCGCAAATCATAGGGTAACAAGAAAATTCGACAGAAAGTACTGCTCCCGAAGGCCAACAGTGCATGCTGCTAATAAGTGCGATAGAGTTCCAGGCGTTTTGAAAAAAGATATGGATTCCGATCACTATATGGAGGGTCTACACATGTCTCCTGTCTAATCAGTTTGTCAGATAGCAGTGTTACCGGTTATTCTGTTGGATTCGAAGAAGGTTCAAGAGCATATTGAGGAGCTTCGAAACTCTTATTGACCTCCCACAAATGTCCGAACGGGGGAGTTTTGGGGTATGTCTAACCTCCTAAGCGCGAGTTATAGCTTCTTCCTCATTGGACTCTGTAGTTTTCATAATCATCAACATCAAGACCAAAAATACGAGGTTAATTTTAAATGATTTCCTGCGCGGTGGTTCTTTTTTTGTATCTGTCACAGATGCATTCTCATTGGTCTTTTTATGGTCGCCTGATTGCCACGCATGCTTTTGTTTTTGCCGTGCGTTGACGTCTCCATCGACTTCGCTAAAACCGGTAGGAGCTGTGAATGCCGTAATGAATCTTCGCCTACAGCCTGTCTTCTTCTTGCGAACTTGCGCCTCAGCGGACGCTGTTGCTCGAGGCTGAGCCGCAAGAGCAGAAGAAGCCCGAGTGGCTAATGGCGGAGCTTTGATGATGACACATTCAGGGGATGCGCTTGCAATGATAACGATTTACTTGGTTCTCGATATCTTTTTATTCCTTCTCTGTCGGTTGTTCGTGAACAACCATGAAGTCTTCAGCGAGAAGTCGTCAATTTCCTAAAGTTTACTCTGGGTCCGCTCCATTCTCCTTTTGCTTTTTTCGTCGTATAGTCTGCCGCAGCACTTACAGTTGGGGCGGTTGGGACGTTTACATTTGTTGCTGTTATGCTCCCTAAAAACACTCCCAACAGAGGATTTTCTCCATAGCGATTTTTCTGCGTGCTCGTGCCTCTTTTATGGAGCGGCACTCATGCGATCTGTGGTTGTTTCTTTTGCCAAAGTTGAGAAACACTTCGACGACTGATTACGTCTCACCGGCTCTATTTCCGCTATTCCCTTACAACTCGACGGGGGAGTTTCTGTAGCATGGTTTCAATCGACATAGGGTCGCAGATGTCTGCTATTTCGTAGCCTTAAGAAGTCATCTCGTTAAGCAGTGCTCTCAGACTATCGAATACTGCTCCACACAATTAGGCGTTGTTCTTCGTCACACGCAGGGGAGACGGCTTTTCAGGGACATTTTCGCATTCATTAATTACGTTGTCATAGTTCTCGTACAGGGACTCAATCATCCATTTATGATTTTCCGGGATCATTTGCATGCCTTTGATAGCATGAGCCGCTTTCCGACGAGTCTCTCTTTAGAAGTATTACTTTTCTATAGCATTCAGAGACAGATTTTGATGGGCTACTGTATTGTCCCAGCCCAAAACACCTGAAAAACTGGAGATTTCACCAGGAAAGAGACGAACTTCCACCTGAAGGAGCTTAATGGGATTTCATTCCATGCGTATCTGTGCCTGTTTTTGGGGAGTGACACCATCTGGTCTCATCTGGTCTTTTCACCGAAAACCTTTGCTGATACCATCGGTGTTTCTTCAGAAACGCTAGCTGTCGCCTCTGTCTCATCTTTTTGCAGGTGCACCTGCACCTGATGTACCCAGTAGTTCTTTTGTGAAGGGGTTGCTGCTCAGAATTCGTCGCATTTCACTTTTCAAGGCGAGTTTGTAACGCTGTTAGAAGAGCACCTGCTTCACATAGCATTTTATGGCCGAGAATCTTGGTCTATATGGTTTTAACTTTTTGAGGAAGTCTCTGCATTCAGATTTTCCTCATTTTTGAGTATTCCCTTTGAATAGTCTCAAGTATGTATGTTCGAAATATCGCCTCGAGAACTACTTACTACGCGTTTATGATTGCCGAAGCTGTGGCAACGCAGATATCTATGGTCTGCATTCGCAGCGGTATATAGCGGTTCATCAGCGAAAGTTCGAAATGTATCGATCTGAGAGCTGAGGCGCCTGTTGGCGCTTTTTTTGCTTGACCTCTGGAAATAGCGTGCCATCATAGTGGTGGGCCAACACTTTTATCAGCAAGGTGCTCTTTTTCCTTCAGAGTCAGCAGAGCGGCGTGTTGAATTACCTAACCACTTGCCTGGCTTGTAGTTCGGCAGAGAGTACTGACAAAAAAAACAGAAAAATAGTTTGCGATTGCCGATGCACCAAATGTGCAGCGCTATTGTGTTAAGATCGGTTGTGTGATTCAATCGAATTGAATGGAATTTTATGAACCAGCAATTAACAAGGTTACAGGCTACAAGTGAACACAACCGAGCAATGCCCTGCCGAGTGGCTTATCCTTGACCATGGCAAAACACATGGACTATTACGCGTCAAAATCGTTGAAGTGATACTCACAGGTTGTAGTCTACAGGGTTCCGCGAGGATCCTTCTTCAAGTGTGGGCGGAACGAGAGAGTGTTTCCAACGCGAACGAATCCCACCGAACTTTATTAACTGATTAAATATGTATGCGAAAGCCCTACAAATAACTAGAGCCAATCTCCGCACAATGAAGGATGGCAGAAAATCATGCGTAACCGAGGAACAAGGCTGCTTTCAATTAAATCGCACAAAACAGGGGGCATGAGCCGGGAAGGATTTTTCATGGGTTCCGAGCATTATAGTGAGCACAGGAGACGTCCCCATTTGGAAGATGCCTATGATATGTTCAGCTGTTATCTTTGCCTTTTTGTCGGTAAAAATTGATTCCATATTTTCATTCCTCAAAGCACGACCAGAACTGATGATTCAGTTTTCCGGACAATTTCAAGGCGGGCATAATACTTTATTATGGAGGCGAAACACCTCCAATTACTTTGACGTGGGGGCTCAGCGAGTAAATATTCGCGATGTTCCCACACAATCTGCAGTTGTGGAGGTGGGCACACCGGCTTAACGCAAGGAACCCTGATCCATGGGACGTTAACTTCGTGTGTGCTACGTAAGGCAGATAAAGTAGCTTATATTCTTCATCCACTATTCGTGGATTCGAGCGAATCCAACGAGCCTGCCGTAGACTACATAGTACACAAGGCGCCTAGATTGTATTCCGAATATATCTGCTTATATATGTACGTAGGCTGGAATAGCATACACCTAACTCCAAAAAAATCTCTCCAACCAGTAGGAGTACTGACTGACAAGTGTTCATAAAAGTTGGAGCAATTTAGAATATTACATGAAGGACTGCACCCCTGTGAGTACCCAAACATGCTGTGAGAGGTTGTCACATTTTGCTCACTCTTTGAACTACCAGTGTTTGCCACACGATAGCAGACCAAATAGGGGCTTCTACAAGGAGCAAAGAATTGTCAATCGAACAAATACAGAGTTGTAAACAACCATTAATCTAAGCTGGCTTCTTAATGTGAATCCGCGCAGACTACTTCAAAAGAATTGTCGATCGTACCATTAAAAAACGAAAAAATAGAGATATTCCGCCTGAACTTGCGACTCTCCGTCTCACTTCTACGTTTTTTCTATTCCGGAAGAGGCAGACACCCTTATGTAGACTCCTCGACCAGAAAAACAGGGCAGACGCGAGGCTCGTTTCATTGCAACGTTCAAAAGCACGTGATTGTTAAACAACTTCCAATGACCTTCCCTTGCGTGTAACAATAATAAATAGAACGTTGCCTCTTAATTTCTTGAGAAGGCCCCCATCTCCAACGAAGGCGCTGTCATATCTGAGGTTGGAGACAATTGAGAATCCTATACATGAGCGATGTCACTAAATTGAACTGGGGCTCTTCTAAGCCATTCAGCCAGAACCTTTTCTCAATACATACGACAGATTATATGGTATCGGACCAGGCCGTGGTACCGGTTGTCACAGGACCTCGCTCCCACTCGAGCGCTTTTCACAGAGGGAAACTCAAACTTTGTATTTATACAAGGCTGCAGGCTTTCTCTCAGATCGTGAAATGAAAACGCGAGCCCACTCAGCTGTTCTTTCTACTAATCTTTTATGATCTCTTCACATGCTATAACATTAAAATTGGCGTTTCTCATGCATTCGGCCAGGCCATGGAGCGATAGGAGAGCTGCGCAGTCGTTATTGAGCGACCCGTCAAACCCATTGACGTAGATGGACTCACCACCCAGGTCTCCGACACTGACTGAGCGCAAGGAGATCTGTGGAGATTGGCGCAATGTCCAAGATCAGCTGGATGGTCTGCATTTCATTCAGAGGTCCAAAGGCCGCCCACTTTGCTTTCTTACCAATTTTCGGCACACCTCTATGACCACTGCAGCAGATTGGTTGTGATTTGAGCATCTGGAACCTTCAAAAACGCAGCCTCTTCAGCAGGTTGAGTTATCCAACTTCGCGACTTGCGAGCCAGGAGGGTTTCCAATATCTTGCGCAGAACACTAAACAAGCTTATTTTTCAGTAGCTGTGAAGATCATCCCGTTCTAGTAAAGAATAAAACTCCCGAGCTTGCTCACTAATTAAAGATCCTCTCTCTCAGTGGTGCAGGATGTCAGTGTTGCCTGAAGCGCACGAAACTCGTACTTACGGAACTCTTACCTCCAAAGGGGCTATTTCTCCAGTGTGAATCCCTGAACTTCGCACGAGTGCCGTGGGTCGGTGCAGGTTTGAGTAAAAACTTCTGCCTAAAGAACCTTTTCAAACATAAAAGCGCTATTCCGTAGTCTCTGGAATTCTGTCGGTATTTCTTCAGCAGTTCTGTTTACAGCTGTCTCCAGTAGTCACGTCCTCTTTGGACAGCTCAAGGACTCGCAACACTGCTTAGCAGCTGATGTTTGCCCACAGCCCCTCAGAACTGTGGCGTTTCAGTCGAGGATTATGCTGATTCTTGTCCTGAGAAGGTCTTCCGCGGCATCGAAAATGCGAGGAGGTATTCATCGGAGTATGTTTGGCTTGCTCAGCACGCCGCATTTGGTTGGGTCAACTATGACCTGCCAGTCATATTGGGAGAATGCGTCATTCAAAGTAGCTATCAAACTTAAACCAAGCTCTATGCGCAATGTTGAGAGATCTGACTCCAGCTTGTGACCAAATCTGAGCTCAGCACCAAGTAGTAGATGTTCAAAGCCACCGCAGACCACTTTCCTATAATGTGGTCCCGTTGAGTATGAGTCGTATCATGTGGGTACACTCATGCACAACGGGAACGTTTCACGTTTCAGGAGGAAAAGAGTGAAAGAGTTGAGCCGCGGAAGTTCCCTACCATGGTTTTTGTTCTAGTTCCTGTCCCCTTCCCAACCTTTCCAACCCTGTACTCTTCCTCTGACGTTTCGCCAAGCCTAGCGTTGAAGTTCGAAACGAAGAGAGAGTTGTAGAAGAACTCCTCGTTGTGGATGATATTCTTGGCTGCTCGTAAAACTCAACGAGCCCTTGTTCATCGGCTGCAGATATGGTAATGTAGTAAGGTAGTGTAGTAATGGTCTTCAGATACGCATGCCGCAGGTTCAGGACGGCAAAGCGAGGAGACAGGACCTTGTGAGTGTCGAGAGTAGAACAAAGGACGGGTAAAGAAAAAAGCCGGCGCTCCCGACATTCCGCTATGGGAAGTTCCCTTTTCTGATGATAAAGGCTTCAATAAGGTTTGCCAATTGTTGTTCTAGCAACCGTGCTACCTTTTGTGACATGTCGCTAAAGTGAGCATTTTTGGCACATTCAATTAGCCTCTTCATAGCGTGCACAACATATCATTTGGTGGGCAGTCAAGCGAGCGCAGTCGATGTCAACACTTGCTCGAATATTGGCTTATGTAAAGGACATTTTCGATAAAAAAAACATTCCGCATTGATTACCAGTGAAGAACCTGGAACTCCCTGACTGTGTTCCATGACGTCGTAGATTGTGGCCATCCCATCCCGATCAATACTACTCATCCCATTCCCCTAGGGCATCTACTGGCCTTGCTCATTATTGCAGAGAGAAATGTAGTGAAATACGCGGATGTATAACCTAGTGCGAAAATGTAGAAGGGGGTGATGAGGAACCACGTTAACAAAAAAGGAGAGCATGTGGTGTGATAAGATAAGTAGAAGAAGTAGGAGAGAGAGGAACTGCTGATAAATTGAATACCATGGAGCAGCACTTAGAGACGTATCCAACACGAAATTGGAAACAAGTTTTTGAGACGGCCCTTCACTAGTAGTAAGTAAATTTATACTTACACAGGAAGCCTGTAGTCTTTTCTGTAGATTTCAATGCTTCTTACGCAAACCACGACCAACAGCATACAGATTGATACTGGAATGAAGATTTTCACAAGATCAGCAGGCCCGTACATGCGTCGACGCCACGTGGACGTGGGAGATTGGAAGTGTTGTTTCTGGTTCGCATCGAGCTCGATTCCGTTAGCTGAACAAGAACTGCTTAAACAGTCGAATCATTCGTTCGTGCTTGCACATCTCAAATTATCATCGCTGGACATTATATATCGTACCATAATTAGCTTATTATACGTTGTTCTGAGAACTAAGTTCATCAACACACTGATTCATCCATTAATCATCTCACATGAAGTGAAATGTTGGGCCTACAAAGGCACACTTCACTTTAATTTTGTGTTACCCATTTTAAGTTGAAAAAAGGGGAGAGTCGGTGTAAAAAAGTGCAACGGTGGCGAAGAAGGGAAACCCGGTGCTAGTAGGGCGACCCGGCGGATAGGCATATAGACTTCTAACGGTTCGACCAGTAATGTTAGTCATTCATATCACATGATAAGGCGGAAGTGTGATATAGACTTTACTTTTGTTCTCCGATTCTGCATTCCTTCTAGTACAAAGCAGAGCAAAGTATGTAAGGGCTGCATAATTACTTAGACCAAGAGCTTTCGCCATCCAAAATGCCTCATTGGTCTGTCAACCATTACCACATCCTCACCGTATTATCTGCGATCGAATCAAATCCCACATCACCAGCTAAAGAGCCAAATAGTGCTGGGCGGGAGGGCGTGATAAGACTATTGGCTCCTACTTTCTACTGTTCCTTATGTCATGACCCTTACCAGATTATTATTTCCTGTCACAGTCGTCTACGACCTTTTCGCATCCCAAGCACTCAGCAAAGCGTCAAGGTTGCAAGGTTGATGCAAAGTCTTGATCACTCCAGTAGCTCTTGCTTGTATTACTCCCTTATTGACTGTTATGAGTTCGAGTAATCAACCACCTGCGATCCCTTTATAGCGCACATTACCTAACTAAGGGCCAAGGATCAACCGTACTCACAAAAGGCGTCACAGAATAAGCGACTCTGCCCTTCTATGGTACCTCTGACCGCATCTTATTACTGCTATAGGTCCTTATCAACTATGTATTTACGGTTCCTTCACACCCAACATCACTCAGCAAAGTGTCATAATTCCTCTACTATTCCGGACACGTCAGCTCCTGCCCTCTCGTATTCCATATCACTTCCTATCATTTGTCACCAGCTTCTGCTGACAGATCCTGATTCATCCCCTGACGGTCAGACGGCTGACAGGGATGGCGTAACCGGTCCAGAGCTCATACATACTATAGCTTCTTATCAGTCTCCGTCAGTTAATCATCCCCTATTACCGATCATCTGCTGCCATTTATAACCCCTTGTCACCTTCGAAAGTGCCAGTGTCTAACTGTTGAGACAAAAGGCGTAAGGGATTGTGGGACTTCTGCATTCTGATGCTCCTCATCAGCTCCTACCATTTGTTAGTTCTTCCTACAACCTATCGCTAGCGTTCCTATAATGCCTTCGTATTTCTTCTAAAGTTACGTCAAGGAATTGCCAACTCCTTGTCAATACAAAAAGCGACGTTTGAGATCTTCAGTAGCATCGCTACCATCTAATTTTACTCCCAACCGCTGTTTCTTAAGTTTGCGATGGACATTCCGTATCATTACCTTTACTATAGCAACAATGGTATTCGCGGACGTACAGACACTGACCCAAGTTATTGCTGTTACTGCACTGATATCGCCGAACAACTCGTCTTGTGTCAAGTAGTCATACTATCAAGGCATCATGGTGTTTGGATTTGCATGGGGCGTCAGTTTGCTGTCTTTCTTATTGTTAATACCACACATTTTTGCGGACAAGTGAAGTTTGGTATCTATCCACCATATCTAACCCTTGATAGTAACATGGGTTAAAGCAAGAGGCCCAAACAATCGAGTGGAAAAGCTACACCGATAATTTAGCCGAAAGGTATTTGCTACCTGTCTCATTGGTGACCTTTCTTTCTTCATCGCCTTCTTTTGCTTCATCGTCTGATTTCTTATTATTGAATCCAACAGAATCGGGAGGCTAAAATATTCTGGATATGAGGCACACGTGCGCAAACCAGTCTCTCCAGTAATCACTTTGAAGTGTTACTTGAAAGAGCGCACATTTTCCAAATTCCCGGTAAAAAAACTTGGTAAGGGGTGGAAATATAAACAAGAGAAGCACGTTGCTCTGTGTTCCTGACACGGCACTAGGGAGCAGAGAACTATGATGAGCGCGCATTGATGCTTGGACGACAACTGAAAGGATGAGATGGTGACTTCGTTTAAAAAGTTTAATGGAATGGAAATTGACTTTCAGAGTACCACCGCACTGAGAGAGCGAAAATACGCAGACAAGTGTCCGAAACTGTGTGTAAGGCGTTGAGCATAGTGCCCCTTCCCAACTACCACTTCACCTATTGAGAAAATATCACAGCAGTAGCGAATGATGCTTACCTCTTGTGGTGCTGGTCCTCCAGTTTCTCCCACAGCTGCGAGCCGCCTCATCTCGTGGCTGAAAGAAAAAATGATTTCGAACCACACTTTCACCAGCTGAGGGGTAATCTTTCAAAGTAGTAAACAACAACGGCGGAAATTAGATTAGTATTTTGAAAATAGATGACGATTCAAAGAAAAAAGTTGTTACGAAAACCCCTAGGGATCAACGCACTCCAAAAATCTTCCGTTATAACCACATCACGTCGCAATCACATGCCCAGAATGGTTATTCGAAAGCACAGCATTATAACTTCTGGGTGTTAAGTTTGAGACGATTAATGGAGGTGATTATCTGAGATAGTGCGGACGTTTTCTCTCCTGAAGCACGTTAGCAGCTCCAATCAGATCCTGTCACTTACTCTCCAACACAGAGCATCAACTGAAGTGCCATTATCACTCTGTTAACATGACATGTGGAACAGCCACTGACTTCTTCTCAAATCGCTCACCAACCCATTATATGTTATACCTTTCCGTTATCATTAACCTCTATTCACATCCTTTTTTCTAAATCCTCTCCTAACTGAAATGCTCTGGGAAAGCAATCTAGCCTATTGAATTCCGGCAAGCTCATACACATGCACTGCTACATTCACATATAGGATGTTTCAAAATAATGGGAACACCACACCCAGTTGGAGATCATCGTCGATGTTCAAGATTGGTTAGAGAAAATTGGCTAATGAACCACATATACTCGCCTAGCTTGCCGTCTCCACGTGAGTTGTCGGTATACCCGTGGCTCAAAGTTTCGGTAAGCCCCTATGACCCCGTATGTGGCGAGTGGGCATCATAGCCGACTGATGCAGGCCTGTGTCTTAAGCAGCGCTTGGTTGTTGAACGTTAAGTGTGCACGGCTATCCGCTCCTGTCCGAAGCTTCCTGAGTCGTGACTGTGTTGATATTCAGTGCGCTCGATGCGCCGGTTGGTTGTCTATTTATCCCTTCAATGCTTCAGTCCAGGCTTAATTGTTTATAGTGACCAAACCGTTCAAGAAGCAAATCTACAGTAGTGCTCAAAAGTCTTCGGTGAAATGGTTCTTCAGCCGTGCTTTTCAGTCGTAACTCCTTTCCTACTGGATCTAATTTTGCGAAATTTCTATATGTGGAGCGTGGGTGTACTGTGGATATTTACCACTATTAACTTGCAATCTGATCGTGTTCCAGATATTCGAAAGAGCATGAATTCAAAATCGACTGAAAATACAAATGATGGTCCTTCTCAAATCTCTTTTCTTTTTGTCATGTCTAAAGTGTACAATTGGTAATGCCGAACAAAATAGATGAGGAAAACGCACATAAGTTGCGAATAAGTGCAGACGACAACAACTTTACTTCTAGCAAAATCTGCTACCGCAACAAACACCTTGCTCTATCTGTGAATATTGCAGCTTCGCAGTCAAATAGTGTCGGGTAGGGTGAAATATGCTTTGGTTAAACATATCCAAATTTCGCGCGATGTGGTCTACTAGGAAAAAAGTTATGAACGAAAAACCGTCAAAGTATTTCACCGAAGACTTTTGAGTGCTGCTGTATATTTCCTAATTTTTGTTGCTCTACCTTCTTTTTTCCGTCTCAATTGGCGAACTGATTCGAGAAAGGATTGTTTTAATATACATTTTAGTCATGTTCAGTACTTTTTTCTTTTTTTGTATGGTTTCTGATTCTTCTTGTTGATCCTAGACCTTTGCAGACTTTTCGCAGTCTGCTTTGGTTAGTTCTTGCATTGCCGAACTTCAGCGCGCCTTCGGGCGCATAGTAAATAAATAAATAAATAAATAAATAAATAAATAAATAAGTAAATGAAAATATTGGGACCCACGGAATCTAATGGAATGAGCAGGTCAAAAGACTGCCCTGGCTTGCCACGCCGACCCACACCATTCACGGTAACTTGCAGTTCAGAAACTTTCTTATTTGCGATGGAAGTCACCTGATGGACTCCATTCTAAAATCGATTAAATCATCTTCAGTTGAAAGCTTCGCTCGACTGACGTCACTGTTGTTCCGATGTTTTATGTGAGATTGGACTGTCGTCTACTGCGAACTAGATTCTGTTCTTCATTGCCCTAATAGAGAAGTCAAGCTGTTCAGGAAACGAACCGTCTTCAAATAGTAACACCTCCCTTCTTTTGCGAGCTTCTGAAAAGACTTCCTTATCGACAACATCGATGAGGGATACCGACTCGCCATTATCTCCACGATGATGCTGGGGAAGCAGAGAATCCTTGTCTAGCCGAAGTTCGTCCTCCTTCGGACACTATCAAGTTGATACACCATCGTGAAATCGCGCTAGCTACAGTAAATCATCATCAAACGTCAGAGTTTATTCTACGCAGGCAAGACTGCGCTAAGGCGTATCGTGAACTTTAGCAAAACTTTCTTCGTATTACTATTTGAGTCCACCTCTCACATTCTAGAAACACTGGAAATGTTTGCTGTGGAGGATTTTTCTTTTCCATCACTGGTCGAATAAGTATGCAATTGAATTCGAGCAAAGATTCGAAAAAAAGCAGAAGCAAAACCTCGGCTCAAAACAGCCTATGAAAGCTGCATTGAAAAAGTTGTGAATCATAGTGCTCTTTCACGTATTATAGGCAAGGACTGGTGTTCGCATCAGACTCGGTTCAGAGAGTGATGAGGGTTTTGAGCGGTTTACAGAGAATTTTTCCCTCTCGAGCGAGCCCTAATCATGAACCTAAACCTATTTTTTCTTCTGTTGCTTGTCATCCTTCTGGTAGCTTCATAGCTTATCTCGTCAAACTTCCTGTTCTTGGTCGAAAAACTGGTTCACCTCAGAATTGATACGCATCTTCGGTAAGGGTTCTTCAATTGACAGACTTCTGAAATGATCGAAATGATCGTATTCGGACGGCCCGAGATCGAGGCCAAATGACGCGTGCAGTACTAGTTTTCGATTCGGCTTCTATAGTTTTTGTCGAACCATCTGAAATGTAAGCAATCTAGCCTCGTCAAATTATAATGTTTCTCCTTTGCGAATAGCTGATTTTGGGAGTCTTTTTCGATTGCTCCATCAAATTCCAGTACTAAGGTTTCATTTTGGTTCCTTGGAATCCTTTCGATCACGACACGCCAATGTAATTGCACAAGCTGATGGCAATAGCTCCTCTCGATAGTGATACTTGAGACTTCTTCCCAGCAGGTTCAATCGGAATTTGCAACGTTTGCGAGTAACAAAATCGTACACGTTTCGACCTTTATCGCCAGTCCTATCCGGAAGTTCAAGTTCGCGCGCCTGTCCTGCCACCGAGCGGTCGGTTCGTCTCGCTGCTCCCGCGCGATTCCTATTAATTCTTGTCTACTTGAACCACTGCTGTTAACTCTTCGGAATTTCGCTTTCATTCACTACTACTACATCGCTATTACTTCTTCACGACAAGCACTACTACTATTTTTTTCAACACTCATGCGGCAGGAAGCAGATTGTCGTTTCGCTAGTTTGAGTTTTCCTGATCAATCACCAATCAGTTCAGTGTGTTGGAAAAACGAGACTGCTGTGGCTCGTCATTCCTCGGTCAACTTCGTTTCAAGCATTCAGCCACAATATCAGGTGTATTTTTCCTATGATTTTGTGTCTGTTTTTCCTGGTCGTTTCCAATTTTCCTTGGTGTGAACTTAGCGAAGGGGTGGAATTCGGTGTTACCCCTTGATCATCGATCTCTGTTCCAGCTACAAATAAGCGCCACGTGGACATAATATCGCCGGAGAAGGAAGAATGGACAAAACTCTTCTCTGAATGTTCGGAATCGGATGTACCGCGGTATGTAGGGATAATTCTCAGGATACTTCTGGATACTAAACAACAAATGGACGCTATGCGCAAGCTTTTTGCCGATTTTGTCGAGAAAAATAGTAAACTCAGTGCAGGAAATGTCATGTTAAGGGAAGATTTGGAGAACAACAAGTCTTTGGTCAATGGCTCAGTAAAAAATATCTAGGGTGTTGATTCGCATTCAAGTTCTATTGAGAATGAGATTGAGAGACGACGATCGATTGTAATGGTAGGTTTAACGGAATCAAATAATGCCTCAATCACTGATAGGGCCAATCATGACTTTCAGTGCATCAATAGTGTTTTCAATCATATTGATATAAAGTGTGCACCCTGTACTGTCTACGGTATAGGCAGGTCGATCAATGGTAGACCACGCCTGCTTAGGGTGATTTTGCCTAGGTCAAAGTCTCAGCAGTTGGCGGCCAAACGTGCCCCAAGATTGCGTTCCTTCCATACCAAGGGCGTATCCATGCGTCCATCCTTGTCACTGGAAGAGAAGATGAAAATTCGAGAGGCACGACTGGTCGAAAAACCTTCGTCTCACAATTCTAGTGCGCATGTTGTGGTAGTTATGGATTCAGAGACAGTGTCAAATTCTGATTGTGATGTCATGCCCAATGCTCATTCTGATTCTGTCAATGCACTTCCGAAAAATGATTAAAGCCTCTGAGGATAAATCGTCGTTTCATAAAATGTGCTTTAACTTATACGGTCAGTAGTCAAAAATGCAGAAGCTCTGGTATCTCTTTTATGTAAGAAAAACTATGACCTGATTTTATTGACGGAGACATGGCTTCACTCAAAGGCAGACTTGGCTCCGATAATCGAGTTGGTGGCATCACATTATCAGATTTATTGAGCGAGTCGAGTTTGCAAAAGAGGTAGTGGCGTCATGATCACGGTCTCTTATGGAGCCTTAGCATGTGATATCTGGTTTTTCTCGTTGGAGGGAAGGGTCGTAGGATTATACAGGTCACCGTCCTGTTGCTCAAGAACAACTGATCAACTTATCAAGGCAATCAGCGATCTATGCTCATGTGAGAAGGTCTGCTTAGTTGCTGGTGATTGCAATGTGGCTCATTTGGGTTTCGCCACCGGACAAAGGTGGATGGTATAGCGTCAAAATTTCGTAGCTTGTTCAGCCTCATGGTTTAGTTCAAAAGGTGTTGTTTCGACAGTTCTATACATTCGAAAACATTCAAAGGTTTCCCCCGATTGGGAGCAGAGACTACTCCGTAGTCAGCTTACATGTTCTATCTTCTTTTTCCGAGGATAAGGCTATCTAGATTAGAGATTTTGGGTGTGCAGACTCTGAAACCGTGAGGATTAATTAACGGCAGGTGACTTGGTTCGGTTTGTTCAACAATGTTGGCAGTGTGAATGAAAAATATGAGATGTTCCTAGATGTGATGCATCATGTTTCGGATATGTTTATTCCTTTTAAGTTGGTCAACAAATTTTGTCAGCGCAACCTGCCTAAGTACTTAAGTTCCCTCGAGAAACACAGATACAGGCTTTGGTTAAAAGCTATTTCTTCCCAAGCAGCAGGCGATTGGAATGCATACCATGCTACAATCAAAAAGTGGACTCAAAAGCTCAGCAGGTATTATGCATTCCTGGAAAAGACAAAACATTTGAAGGGAGGTGCAAAATCGCTATACTCTTTACTCAAGGCTAGGCGTTCGGAGAGGCAAAGGATTGGACTCTTCAAGGACTCATCTAGGCCTCGATTCGCAATAGGCGATAACGGATATTGACTAAGCGGAGTTGCTTCGAAGCTGTTTTCTCGGCAAATCATGATTGTGTTCCAATTGTTGCTAGTTCTGGAATTGGAGCTTGTGATTCGGCTCCATGGTTTGACATGAGCACTATATAGGAAGTCCTTTGCAAGTGGACGTCTGCTGCAACTGTTTACAGTGAGAATATACCTTTTATCGTGGTAAAGAACTGTATCTAGGAAACATGCGGCCCCCTTGCATTTTTGTTTAACATTAGCCTCGTACGAGGCGAGGTTCCCAGCAAGTGGAAGCACTCCATAGTCTTGGCACTCCCCAAGTAAGAGTCCAATTTTAATCCGAATACTTTCAGACCAATTAGCCTGATGTCCATCTTTGCAAGGACATTTGTAAAGGTTATCAAACGATACTTGCTTCGACACATAGAGGAGCATGGTATCATCTCTTCTACACATCATGGTTTTTGTGCAGGGAGGTCAACGGAAACAGCTCTATTATACTGTATGAATGAATGGACGAAAGCAGTTGATTCAAATAAGAATGCTGACGTAATCCTCTACGATTTCAGTGGAGCCTTTGATAAATCATCGCACAGGGTTTTAATACATAAGTTGGAACATTCAGGCTTCCATTCACTAGTTTTTAACTGGGTTCAGAAATTCCTCAACATCAGGAAATTCCAAGTATTCGTTGGTGAATCTCTCTCCACTACTCGTAGTGTATCCAGTCGAGTTCCACTGGATACACTACGAGGAGTGGGGAGAGATTCACCAACGAGGGAGGGGTGTTATCCCCAGTTTTGTTTAATATTTATGCCGCCGATCTTCCTCAGTATCTTGAACGTCTAGATGTTCACTGTATTATTTATTCTGATAACATTAAGGTGTGCAAAGTGGTCGAATGGTCTATTGCTAATGGTTTGTCTTTCTCAAATGAGAAAACTCAGATAATGCGCATTGGGAATCACTTCCGCAACCCTGTGTGTGTGCGAGGCAAACGCACTCTTAAAGCTGTCTCAGATGTTCGTGTTCTCGGGTATCGCTACCCTTACAGATTGATCTTTGGTACGCATTACATGATGTTAGTCTTGAGAGGAACTCGTCGCATTTTCAACTTACTCAAGGCACTTTGGTCAAAGAATGAAATGATCTTGCTGCGTGTATACAAACTCTATGTGCGTCCTATGTTAGAAAGTGGAACACGGTATTCAATCCATATAAGTCAAGGGACATCAAAGCGCTGGAAGCTGTTATAAATAATTTTTCTCGAAAACTAATGCTTAGATGTTCTGATCTCACGCATCTAGACATCCCTAATGGCGCAGCTAGGAACCCTAAAATACGGGTTGAAATCACCAGAATGGAGGAGGAGGAGGAACGACTTACTCATGGTCTTTAAAATCCTAAGAAATCTAGTGAAGATTAATGTGTGTGATTTCTTTACTGCCATCAAACACGAGACGAGCTTCCGCCAAACTATCGACTTCAAATGCCAAGACCCAATGCAGGTCGAAGTTTTTCTGTCTTAGAGCTCCTGCATGTTTCAATTCTATTCTGCGATCGAATCCGTATCTTTTGAAGTATGTTACCTTTGAAAACGGGTCAATAATTTTATCTGACTTTTTATGGCAGTTTGTAGTCTCGCAAGAGTTCCCCTTTTCGGATTTTGTTAGATCCTCGTTACGTGTTGAGACTTCAACATGTCCAAATAAATGAAAGTGAGGTTTCATTTTGGTTCCTTGGAATCGTTTCGACCACTTCACGCTAACGCACTCCCTCAAACTGATGGCGTTAGCCGCTCTCCATAACGATGTTTGGGACTTTGTTCCAGCAGGTTCATTCGGAATTTACAACAATCGTTTGTAAGTAACACAGTCGTGAACATTTCGACTTTTATCGCCAGGTCCACTCGAAAAAATGCTTCCAATATCTCGCACAAAGGTGGGTTAGGAGAACAAACGAAAAATTCAGTTGGTTCTTCATTCATTTCTTTTCGAAAAATCAAAGGTGGCGTGGTAGTATATAATTTTTGCCACGAACACGGACAAGGAACGAAAATGCATAATTCAGTTGAGTAGAGTGCCGATAACTAAACTTTTAATACCATAAATGACTACATTCGGAAGGGCTTCCAAAAAGAGATCCTGTTACAAAATTGAGCAATTTTTCAATTTCGGTAGGTGGACCCTCAATGACGTAAACACTTAAGAGAAAGCAGTAGTAGGTATTTTAGTTACTGGCATTTTGAATGTTGAAAGGGACAGTTCACGATAATTTTAGG